ACGTGGAACAGACTTCCTGATGAGGTGGTCCTTTCAGGTACTGTTGACACTTTTAAACGCAAAACTGGATTCTCATTTGCTGAGAAACTGTGATACATATAATGAACATAGCGTCAGCAGCGGCAGTTTGCAACTGGCTCACACATATCGCTGGCGTTAACCCCACATTTGTCTTATGTACTATCGTTAAAGCTGAACTCTTTTGCGACTTTTGGACATGAACAGGGAGCTCAAGGGCGAAAGCCTTCTTCCTTAATAAAGTGAATTAACTAATCTGAGGCAGTGGCAGCCTGCTTCGCCCGGTTTGTTTTCGGATAAACCGAAAACAACTAGGCTGACATGGCCACCACATCGGCTGGCTACCGCGCTAACCTAGGTAAATTCCGATGATCTCCGCGTTTACTGTCTGAAATCAAAGATGGGCAGAAATGTACCGACAAGGGGTACGGGGGGAGGGAGGCGAGGGGCACGGTGTATAGGTGCAGACAAGTATGTAGCTCTCTCACCTCCTCGTAAGCGGCCTCGCGCTGACGTGCAACCTGATGGGCGTCAGCTGCGCGTTTGCACAGCTCCTCGTTCTCCTCCTCGTAGTCACGCAGATCAAACTGCAGCTTCGCGTTCCGATCACGTTCCTCCTTCAAACTATCCGCGTTGGGGAAGAGGCAGGAAAGAGGGGAAGAGGGAATGGTGTTATTTTTTGCCAATACGAGCACAAACGCAAAAAAAGTACACGGTATTGTGGTTGGGCTGGCCTGTGCAGTTAGCCATCAACTTTGCAACGTCCTGCCCAGACAAAAAGGGCATTTCGGTTTTAAATCCTAGCAAGGCAGACAGACGCCGTGTAGCCGAGCTCCAAGGAGGTAGAAACTTGGAGAATTAGCCCAAGCAATGTCTACTAGCACCCGAGGAAGATGCCCTACTGAGAATTTAGGCGTCTCCTGACTCAGTTAAATAAAATAGTCTTTTGACTAATTCAGACTCAGCGGTTGAATACTTCGAGCGCGACGTGATTCCTTCAGATAGAAGAGGTTAAAGTGCGGTAGTCTAAAGTAACGCCTCGCCTTCTGCGCCGGGTGCGGTAAGCCATTTAGCTGTGCATATCTTACACTTTGATGATAAAAGCTAGATGCTCACAGCATTTATGAACGAACAGGCCTAGTTGAAGAATTTAAGCTGATCGAGTCGTAAACTTGTTTCCCCTGCCCCTCCCCTCTCCTGTATATTTGACGCTCGCAATAGTCAACTGCAGACTTTTTTCCTTCAGTGACGTAGTCTTTCCGTTTTAGAGCGGCGTTGAGAACCTCCCTAACGCCAGTATTGGCTACATAATACTCGGTACCACTTATATTTCAGGCATCCACTGGCACCTCTGAATGCCCC